GGACAGGCTCACAATCTATCCACTCTTACCATCATTGACAATACTTCTGTCATGATTTGTAAACACATTTCTCTCAGTTCTTGCAGTGAAACCGTTGTTCTTCCACATACCATCGTTCAGCATGATTTACTGACATGTGATGCAGACATTATGGATCAACTTGAGCTCCAAGACCTACCAATTCTTAAAGTGGTCACTTATGTACAACCTGCCCACAGGCAGAGACACTTTCCCTGTAATATAGCTCAGTTAGCTTTTGATTGCCATGAACTTTCATCCTTTGTTTATATTGCTGGGCATTGTTTACAAGTACAGGAATTGATCCTTAAATCACAGCAATGTAGAAATTACTGGTGCTTTGGCCACCCAGTGAAATATTGCAGATTAATGGCAGAATGCCTAGCCTGTGGTGCTGCTGACCATACCAATCCATCCTGCAGCCAATCTCCTCCTTGCCTTAATTGTAATGAGGCTTGTCTAGCTTATTCTCAGTGTTGTCAGGTTTTCTTAAAGGAGCAGGAAATCTGCTGTCTCCAGGAGAAAGAGGGTTTCTCTTATGCCATGGCAGTCACCCATATCCACCTCCAAGGAAGACTTCCATGGCTTTCTTATTCAGAGTTACTAAGCGGCCTCCAACCTCGTTGGTACCTACTTCGTCAATCTCCTCTCTAGTCACAAATTTCTGTCACCTTTGTGTCTAACTCTTTTGCAGCTCTGAGTGCTGAGGTCCCTACCTCGTCACCTCTTACTGCCATTGCATCTTTATCTTTTCACTTGTATGTTTTTATGTCTACATGACCTCCAGAACTACACCATCATCTCATGTTCCTACTTCTCTAAAGTCTAAAACATCACTACAGTCCAAATCTCCTTTCTGCCTGGTCCTCGTCTGAATGAATTCTTCTCATCAACTTCACATCATCTGCAAACAGGGACACTTCTGAGTCTATTCCTTCCCTCATGTCATTCACATATACCAGAAACAGCACTGCTCCTAGAACTGACCCCTGTGGAACCCCGCTCATCACAGGCGCCCACTCTGACACTATCACGTACCATGACTCGCTGTTGTCTTCCCAACAGGTATTTCCTGATCCATTGTAGTGCCTTCCCTCTTATCTTTGCCTGGTCCTCCAGCTTTTGCAGTAATCTCTTGTGTGGAGCTGTATCAAATGCCTTCTTACAGTCCAAGAAAATGCAATTTACCCACCCCTCTCTCTTGTTTTACTGTTGTCACCCTGTCATAGAACTCCAGTAGATTCGTGACACAGGATTTCCCATCCCTGAAACTGTGCTGGTTATTGCTGATAAGCTCATTCCTTTCCAGGTGCCCCATCACTCTTCTCCTGATAATCTTCTCCATGACTTTACATACTATACACATCAGTGACACTGGTCTGTAGGTTAATGCTTCATGTCTGTCTCCTTTTTTAAAAACAGGGACTACATTTGCTGTCTTCCATACCTCAGGTAGTCACCCTGTTTCGATAGATGTGTTGAAGATTGTTAGTGATACACAGAGCACCTCTGCTCCGTTTTTCAGGACCCATGGAGAGATGTTATCTTGTCCCATCACCTTTGGGGTATTTCTCTCGCCTAGCAGCCTCTTCACTTTTTCCTCGGTTGTATGTATTGTGCCCAATACTTGATTGTGTACCCCACCTCTCCATCTTTCTGGAGTCCCTTCTGTCTCCTCTGTGAACACTTTAAATCTCACGTTGAGCTCCTCACATACTTCTCAGTCGTTTCCTGTGATGTCCCCTCCTTCTTCAGCTTGATTACATGGTCCTTGGCTGTTGTTTTCCTCTTAATGTGGCTGTACAACAGCTTCGGGTCAGATTTGGCTTTAGCTACTATGTCATTTTCGTATTGTCATTGGGCCTCCCTTCTTACTTGTGCATATTCATTTCTGGCTCTATGACTGCTCTCCTTATTCTCCCAGGTCCTTTGTCTTCTATACTTCTTCCATTCTCTAGCACACTTGGTTTTGGCCTCTCTACACCTTTGGGTGAACTATGGGTTCATCCTGGCTTTTTTTGTTATTTCTGTTACCCTTGGTTTTTAAACCTCTCCTCAGCTTCCTTGCATATTGTCACATATTCCATCATCTCATTTACTGACTTCCCTGCCAGTTCTCTGTCCCACTGAACCCCGTGCAGGAAATTCTTCGTGCCTGTGTAATCCCCTATCTTGTAGTTTGGCTTCATTCATCCTATTTCCCTCTCCACTTGTAACTCTATTATGTATTCGAAGCTCAGAACCACGTGGTCACTGGCCCCGAGGGGTCCTTTATATGTGATGTCCTCAATATCTGCACTACTCAAGATGAATACTAGGTCCAGTCTTGCTGGTTCATCCTTTCCTCTCTCTCTGGTAGTGTCCCTTACATGTTGGTACATGAGGTTTTCCAGTACCACCTCCATCATCTTAGCCCTTCACATTCCTGGGCCCCCATGTGGCTCCAGGTTCTCCCTCTCAGTTTCCTTGTGATTGAAGTCACCCACAATCAGCAGCTTTGCCCTGCTCGCATGAGCCCTTCTGGCCACTTCAGCCAGTGTGTCAACCATCGCTCTATTACTCTCATACTCTTGCCTTGGCCTCCTGCTGTTCTGTGGTGGGGTTATACATCGCTGCAATTACCACCTTGGATCCTCCAGACTGAAGTGTTCCTATTATGTAGTCTCTTGTTTTTCCTCTCTCCTCTTTACAGCTCATCAAAATCCCATTGGTTTTTGATGAGCAGTGCTACTCCACCCCTTCTGTTCCCTCTGTCTTTCCTCAGGATCTGATATCCTGTTGGAAAGATGGCATCTGTTATCATTCCTGTGAGCTTGGTTTCTGTGAGAGCTATGATGTCCAGTGATGCCTCTTTGATTCTTTCATGCCACTCCTCCCACTTATTCATTATTCCATCAGTGTTGGTGTACCATACCTTCAGTTTCCTCTCCAACGCTGTGTTCTAGGGGGTATGTGAGGGTGGGGGAACTGGCAGTGTGCTGTGGGATTCTACAGCATAGTGTGGGGTGGGGGCTGTGTGATTGTGGGTTGTGTTGGGATAGCATTTTTGGCTGTGGGGTTTTGAGGGTGGTTCTGTGTGTGCTTATGCTTGTTGCTTTGCCCTGTTCTGGTTGTCCTCTGCTGATTCTGTCCTGGTCTCTCTTCCTAGCCCCTTTTGTTTCTGTGTCCTCTCCCTCAGCTGCTGTTTTACTGTTCTTGTTCTGTCGCAGTCTAGGAGCATCCTCTTGTATGTTAATGATTCCTTCAGTCGTGGTTTCCCTTGCAGGATCCTGTTCTGCACCATTTCTGTCTCGAAAATCAGTTTGGTCGATCTCTCCCCCTCAAGTATCCCCTATTCTCTGAAAATTTACTATCTTAGTCATGTCTCCTCACCTGTTGCTTTGTTTTCAATCTCCTGTTTTTCTTTCTGCCGTCTTTCACTCCCCTCAGGGAAGGTTCCTTGATGTTGGTGAGGGGCTCTTGATTTAGGGAATTGGAGCTCTGCTCCAGTTCCCCGAATTAAGCCTGAATACCTTCCACATTCCTCCTCCCCCCAGGCGCTGTATAATCCTACGGGTTTAGCGCTTCCCCTTGATTATAATAATAATAATAATGCCGTCTTTCATTGTGTGTTCTCCCTTCGCTCTCCTGAATCCCGTGAATGAACACTTTTTTCTCCCTCTTCTCCCATTGCCTTTCTCTGTGTCTCTGGGTTCCGTTTATACATGGCCATTATCTTCTTTTTCTTCCTGTAACTCTTGGTGGCATGGTAGTGCCTCTGCATGGGACCTGTCACCTTTTTCCCCCCTCGCTAACTGCTATCCCTACTCCCAACACCTCTCCCCCCTTCATTCCTTGGCCCTGCTTGGTGGACTGATAGGGCCTTAGCGTAAGTCTTGTTTCCTTCCTTTCCGTTGGGCTCCTCGTTCAGCAGGGGTGTACCTGCTTCAGATGCCGTCTCCTCTGGGCAACAGCCCTGTAACTCGCTTCAGCCTATTTACCTCATATTCTAGGGCCCGTATCCTGGCTTCTGTATGTGTATGTATACGAGAGAGAGAGAGAGCTGAGACCGTTACCAATTAAGGCACGATCACCCATGAACAAACATAAATGAGTGACAGTTTCTATCTTTTTTTTTTTTTACCTTAGCGAATGAAGATATTCCGTATATCTGGCATCAAAATAAATTCTCTCTCAAAACAAGTCTACAGCAGACCTCTCAAAACATCCACGAGTTTGCATTGAATAATCCAGCTGCAGCAGCGCTGTAAGACCCTTGTGGGTTTAGTGCTTGGTTTTGATTATAATAATAATCCAGCCGTACATGGGTCAATATACAGCACTTTACCTGGAGGGAACATACGTCATACCCTCAACTCCTGTAAGAGGGGTAAAATTATTGAAGGTGGTGAGCATGACAGTGCACATGCTTAGTGGCGTTGTAAGAGGGGGGGCGCCCTGGGTGACACTATTTAGGGGGGTGACACCATAGAGCCTCTAAAGACGGTGTCACTAATGCACAAAACAGTGCTGCAGCAACACAAGAGAAAAATCATTCGTTTCTATATAGCCTATTATATGATTACAGAGTACAAATAGACCTATATAAGGAAAATAATTGAGTTTGATGATGTGATAGATGATTTTGCAGGATTGAAGGCAAGGAAATGTAAGATCAGATTCACTGCGATGTTACCTGTATTCAAGGTCAAATCGGAACTAGTATTTCTCTGATATTGCAATGTTTTTCTTTTTCAATTTTTTTGCATTGTTGAAGATGAATAAATGTAGGATCTGTTGGCCGTACTCAAAGTAGTATTTGAGTTTATGTTTCCTCAATATTACTACGATTATTTATTTTATCCTTAATAAAGTTGAGAAGTATTCTCCTGTTCAGTTTATATGGCCCTTTAATGTTCTCAATGCTAAACATTAGTCACTAGGAATGCTGTAGTGAAGTAAATGGAGTTTACTACCCCCATTCCCCCCGCCCTTGGATTTCATCGGGGTGACACCAACCCTAGCGACGCCACTTCACCTGCTAGGTATACAAGCCCGCCGCTCGGCCACTGGCGTCCTTAAGGGTACATGTAAGACCCACTGTTTGTTCATGGCGTCCTCAGGGATATATAAAAGACCTGCCGTTGTGCCATGGCGTCCCCAAGTGTATACACAAGACCTGCTGTTTGTCCATGGCGTCCCCAAGAGTATATATGTATATAAGACCCGCAGCTCGTCCACTAGGGGTTAGTTAAGAGTAAGCAGGCAGCCTGTATGTTTCACTCTTTACCTCTTGCGAATATGCGAAAAAAATAAGGCGCTCGTTTAAAGGGATTATCATTATTATATACACTGAGAAACGCTAAACTTGTTGGGTTCATAAAACAATACGGAATGGAAACTGAAAACATAAATATTAAGTGGCCGGATATCCTTGTTCTGGTTCTCTACTTCGTGTTCGTGCTGGCTGTGGGGTTGATAGTAAGTCTTCAGTCATCTTAGTAAGTCATCAGTCATCCTAGTAAGTCTTCAGTCATCTTAGTAAGTTTTCAGTCATCCTAGTAAATCTTCAGTCATCTTAGTAAGTCATCAGTCATTCTTTATAAGTGTTCAGCAAAAATGAAGGAATTGTGGAAAATTTTTTGATTTTCCGAAACTATAGTGCCTAATAGTGTTTAATGTGTCTATATGGGTCAAAAATGTATTTGAAAATAAGAGTAGAACCAAGAGTTCCCTTTGCGCATGCGCGGATGTGCGGGAGGGAGAGGCGCGGATTTTTTTTTGAATGGGGTGAAGAAGCGGAGAAAGCATGGAACCACGAAATTGACATTCACGGCGGCCTAAGGATTAATATAGGCCCCATTTCATAATAAGAAGTGTCGTAACTGTTCCTGGTGGAGAGTGAGGGAACGTGATTTACGGGACCACGGTGGTAGAGTGGTAAAATGGGTGATAAGAGTAGGAGCGGGTGGCAGGTGCACGACCAGGGTGAGTGTCCAGGGGACATACCCGTGTGTTAATCCTCGCTCATCGGCCTCAGATCTCAATGGAGTGACCTCTAATTTGTGTAATAGTTATGAGACGTTAAATCGTCTTGTGAATGGTAATGTAATCAGTGATAATAACATTGAGTTAAGAGAATGCGGGATGTGAAATAGAGCGCCTTGCTCCGATGTGAACGTTGTGACTCTCGTACCGGGGGGATTTAATGGAGATTTATAGAATCAGGACTACTAACGGGACAACCGACGGTATACCTCGTCCTGCCGGATGAGAACGTGTCGGTGAGCAGGACATCGAAACTGAGATGGTGAATGGAAAGAAATAAGGAGTATCAATACCCACAGTTAAGTAACCCTTCTAGTTATAACAAATTATGCTGGCCAGTAGTGTTATGTTATAATTAGATAGGTTAATGAGTGATCAGCTACCTCAAGTGATCACCAGGAACCTCTGGTACAGTGGTGGGATTTGTACAAATGTTTCTTGATGGAAGTATCCAGGTGTATCCTACCCCCCCCCCTCCCTTCATTCAGCTAAACTAATATAACTCTATACAGTCCACAATTCATTTAGTAGCACCGTACTTGTGGGTGACTACCAATCCTACTGGTCTCGGATAGATATGGTTAAGATTGTGAGGTCGAGGGGACCACTTGGTGCGGACCAGGGGTGGTTAAGTTTTATCACATGTCTACACGCAAGGGTGACTACGGTTAAACATAAGGGGATTGGTCTCCAATGAGATTACTGGTATGTATATATGTGAGGTACATACAGGAAAGCACTAGAAAATTTTCCATGCTGCCCGTTGGTCCTTCGGAACCGGGTGCAATCAGTGGAAAAAATTAATTGAATTAATTACTTAATAATTAAGTGACTGATTGAAGGAAGAGGGTGTTTGTTGTAGGGGTGCACACGTTTAATCGGATCGTGTGATGGCTGACAATTAGCCCAATTAATTGCTAGCACATGTGTGGCTAGGATTTATACAAAAGTAAAGTGCAAGAATTACTCTTATAGGCGCCTACTTAGTTGTATAATCAGTGATTAATAATTTCTTAACCATGACTGGTCTATGGAGTTAATGTGGCTGACAAAGTCCGTGAATTTTAGAGTATTGGAAAGGCATCATTACAGGCTTATTAAAAGCCATGTGACGAAGGCATTTGATTAGTGAATCAAAGAATACGTGAAACCTAATGAATTAAAGTTATATTTAGATGCTTTAGATAGAGTAGATTTGATTGGTACAAATAGTCGCGTTTTAAAGACTGTGAAAGAGATCTGCTCGGAGAATTGTGCAGATAGAATGGAAATGATGGTTTTAATTAATCAACATTACGAAATTGGAAGAAAAACTGTCTTGTAAAAGTAAGGGCTACTTGAATAAATTAAAGGGTGTAAGCCAGGCAGTTGATCAACCCTATTAATGCAAGGGTGGTGGTTTGCCCAACCCTCCATAGTACGGTCTGGAGGAAATCAGACTAGGTCGGCAGGAATTAATTGTTCAATTGCAGACAGCAGCCAAACAGGTTCTAAGGATATACCACATAATGCGCTGAAGTTCTGGTCAAGTCTCAAAAGGGAAAATTAACCAGTGGTTTTAATAATCATAGTTTAAGAGTTAAAATAGCACATATCAGTCAGGATCAGTAATAGTGGTTCCTCACATAAGGTAAGAGGAATAAGTACCTCGGTAAGTGTAACCGGTAATAAGAGGTCAGTCAAGAAAGAGAGACTGCCTCTTCTTGCCAGGGATACTCATTTTCACTTAAAAATTGTAATGCCCTGTAATTCATGGACATTAAAGTGAAAGAATGAAAGAATTGACATATTTAGCGATGTCTAGACAATCATAATGTAAGGAGTAGATTGTCATACCAAATTGAACAGTAGCTATCAATGCAACAAGGGAAAGAAAAAACACATACAGTTATGGGCAGGGTTGTATGTGATTCTTTATAATAATGGTGACAATAATGATAATGTTAATCACCCTGACACTAAAGTGACTTGTAAAGGTTTGCAGTAATGGCATAATGATTGGCCTAGCTGAGGTTAGACCTTGCCGGTGTTGGATGTAAAAAAATTCAGGATATAAAGGGCATATAAACCCAAAACCATACGGTGTCCAACTTTCTCAACACTGGTACGGTGGGCATGATAATATATGGCAGACTACCGCATAGTAATAAAGACTAGAGGAGTAGTGAATACGGTCACGGTGTCTACTCATGAAAGGTCAAACCCAGTATCAAGTATTCTTCTATCGGAATGATGTGAACCAGTCTAATTGTGGGAGCGTACAGCATGGGATTAATGTAAATGTGGCGGGGGAAAGTCCAATGATTCCCTCTTACTCAGGAAACAGAATACCTGAAGGCTGTTTTAAATGTGAATCTGGACATTACTGGGTGCGACTTCCGTGGAAGCTTGGACCGTCCAAATTACCTACTAATTATAGGATGGGCGTTATGGACAGTTAACGGGGCCCAGCTCTGCGACTGAGCAAGACACCAAAAATTGTTGACTGCTTTAATGATATAATTAATAAGCAGTTAAATAATAAATGTTCTACTCAGGCGACGTAAATGCACACCTTAAATGCAAGGCGGTCCACTGAGCGAAGTAATGGGTAAATAATTTATGTGGACAATTTTCCGGGTGTGACGTCAACTGAAGAGGAAAACTAATGAGGCTATGTGAAGGGTTAATGGAAATAATGAAGAAATGTGTGGGACTCTGATTGGGATACTGAGAGATTGTATTGTTAAAGTCTCAAAATTCCAGTTGCCAATAAATTAATCCAGGGAGGCATAGGCTTATGCCCCTGAGATATGGAACACTAATTTAGTCCATGTTGAGGGATCAATAAATATAGATGGCCATGAGTAGTGCCTATATGCAGTAATGTGCTGGGCTGATTGGGATACTGAGAGACTTGTGTTATTGGTAAAAGTCTCAAAATTCAGTATGCCCAATAACTTAATCCAGGGAGCATAGGCTTATGCCCTGAGAGAAATTGGAACACTAATTAGTCCATTTGTGAGGGTTTCAATAAATATGGGTGCCGTGAAGCTGGAAAAATTTGTACTCCACATTATGTAAGTAGTCAGCAACGAACCTCCGCCCTGGCCGCAATGTGGAAGAATTTTGTGAATTTTCCGGAACTTAGTGCCTAATAGTGTTTAATGTGTCTATATGGGTTCAAAAATGTATTTGAAAATAAGGTAGAACCAAGTGTTCCCTGTGCGATGCGCGGATGTGCGGGGGGAGAGGCGCGGATTTTTTTTTGAATGGGTGATGAAGCGGAGAAAGCATGGAACACGAAATTGACCATTCACGGCGGACTAAGGTTAATATAGGCCCCATTTCATAATAAGAAGTGTCGTAACTGTTCCTGCTGAGAGAGTGAGGGAAACGAGAATTACGGGACCACGGTGGTAGAGTGGTAAAATGGGTGATAAGAGTAGGAGCGGGTGGCAGGTGCACGACCAGGGTGAGTGTACAGGGGACATACCGGTGTGTTAATCCTCGCTCATCGGCTCAGATCTCAATGGGAGTGACCTCTAATTTGTTTAATAGTTATGAGACGTAAATCGTCTTGTGGAATGGTAATGTAATCATGATAATAACATTGAGTTAAAGAGAATGCGGGATTGTGAAATAGTGCGCCTTGCTCCGATGAACGTGTGACTCTCGTAACGGGTATAATGGAGGATATTAGAATCACGACTTTCTAACCGGGACAACCGACGGATACCTCGTCCTGCGGAAATGAGAAACCGTGTCGGTGTAGCAAGGGACATCGAAAAAACTGAGATGGTGAATGGAAGAAAAGAAATAAAGGAGTATCAATCACCCACAGTTAAGAAAACCCTTCTAGTTATAACAAACTTATGCTGGCCAGTAGTGTTATGTTATAATTAGATAGGTTATGAGTGATCCAGCTACCTCAAGTGATCCCCAGAGAACATCTGGGTAATGGTGGGTTTATGTACAAATGTTTTCCTTGATGGATGTATCCAGGTGTATCCTACCCCCCTCCCCTTCATTCACTAAACAAATATAATCTATACAGTCCACAATTAATTAGTAGCACCGTACTTGTGGGTGCTACCCAATCCATACTGGTCTCGGATAGATATGGATAAGATTGTGAGGTCGAGGGGACCACTTGGTGCGACCAGGGGTGGTTAAGTTTTCTCACATGTCTACACGGGGTGACTACGGTAAACAATATGATTGTCTCCCAATGAGATTACTGGTATGTATATAATGTTGAGGTACATACAGGTAAGCACCCTAGAAAATTTTCCATAGGAATCTTCGTATGCATGATATTTCAAATCTGAATCATAGACGAACAATAAAACTAGAAACTAGTTAGTCTATTTGTAGATACGAGTGTCCTTGTGAAAATAATACTCTTTCACCCCCTTCTCTACCGGAACACACAGATCTACACTTGTCAAACA